GCGAAAGTTAGCTCCAGTATGAACAATTACCTAATGGTTCAGAAGGCTATAAACTGTCTTAGATGTAACGGTTCTGAGAGGAAGTAACATTTCTAACACTGAATAGGAAATTATATCTTTTGACCAGTGGTGAAAGGGGTTAAAAACAGTTGTTACAGTTGACAAACATTTATCAAGCAACTGCATACCTTTTAATTTTATCAGCAGTCATGTATACCTACTCGGTGAAGAGGTTACCTACATGACGAACTAGCATACGACTAGTATGCCTTAAATATCATCTAAAAGGCTTTTCATTGAAAAAGTGTACTGTGAAATGTTGTGGTTAGAGTGAACAATCAATGATCACTGCTGTGAAAGTAGATTACAATTAAATTCCGTAAAGCATTTCGGTAATCGCTTACACACTTTGAATATCGCACCTTCCTTCAGTTGTACGGAATTTTAGCATAAATTATTTTTCTCAATGTATGTAAGTGCGTAATTGTTTTACTTACAAGGAAATTCGTAGAGAAGATAACCACAGTCAGACTCATAGTCATGACTTATAGACCACGTTTCTACCACATGAAAATCCAACGTAGGTTTTATTCAGAGAGATGACAAGTTTGCAATGTATCTAATTGTTTACTGCAAGGCCTAGAACTGTGCATAACCCTTGCACGTACTTTTACTGGTTATGGTTCCTCATGTCTCATTTGCAGTCACTGATATCTGTTTCCACTCCTATAACTGCTTTGTATCATAAATTGTCAAAAAGTATCACTTTCTTAGTCATACTTGTTCGTTACAAGTATTTCGCACAGCAAATCTTGCATCATCATTCGTTTGCTAAATTCAAATCCACACGATTCCATATTAGTGCCAGAGCAGCATTGAAACCAAGACTATTGAGTATTTCGAGTAGTTCCCAGCAGCCACATCTTAAGTTGTTTTAAACTAAGACCTCCCCTTGGAAATCGCCTTAATAATTCTGATCGATTTAATACCCGCAAACACGGGGTGTGAAATGATGGTGAGAAATATTGCCGTTACTTTGTGCTTCATGAGACTCTATAAAGCAAGATTTGTGTTGGCTTACGTCAAATATCCCACTATATTGTCTACAAACTATTCGTTTGCGTTCTACACCAACAAACAGATGGGTAAACAATTAATTTTGGGCAGTGTAAGCATCTTCCTGTGGGACACCATTTTCAGGTAACTAGTATCCACCAACATTCAGCATTTTCATAAGTCTCACATTTTCTACCTTGATTTTAGGAGGAAGCAAAGAAACACTTTGGTTGCAACGAAATAGATGGAATTGAATTACAGAATGGCCATTTTAGTCATAGGATACTTGGAGTAAGTTCGCTTTCACCTCTTAGCAATGCCAAGCATGTCAATGCCATTCTACTCTGTAACTCGTTGGTCACATGGCATGTGAGAACTAGATTCCATAGTTTAGAGACATTTCTCAACAGTCCAGTCTGGTTTGATAGTCAGTTATGCTAAGTAAATAAGTGACAAAATACAAAATCGAAATTCAGATTTACTTTCGGTGACCGACAATTCTTTTACCGCAAAAAGTGAAGACTCACCATAAATCGGCTAATAATGGTATTTGTGACTGTTAATGGTTGAAGTTGTTTAAATGTTTAATAAATGTGTGCAACTTGCAAGATATATACTTTCATAATACATACTTTTCTTGGCAATTTTCAAACGTCACAGAGACAGTTTCCTAATGTAGATGAACATACATTATTCTCGGACGATCACAATTCGGAACTTCTATTGGTAAACCATTACGTATGTTCATAGTGTACTGCTGTGAGTGAAATTTAAGCCGCTGTTGTACACATAATTAATAATCCCCTTATTAGGCTTATCCAGTAATCTACACCTGTTCAGTGATAGTTATTTTTTTCCAGTTCAGCTTACTACTGTCACTGGTTTGTGTTACACGAAGTATCACAACACCTGACACAGTCAAGATATTTATTAATCAAAAAGCCTACAAGTATTTGTGTTGGTGTGATTACAAAGAGGTCTTACGTGGCCTGTAATTCAGGAGAAATCATGTCAAACATTGTATAAATTGAATTGTGTGCAAGCATTGCTTGTGAGTAACAGAGCTTGGGCAACCTGGTACTGGCTGAATTACGTACAAATAATAATGTAAACATATAAACAGATAAAGAGATTTCTTATCACCTTGTTCAAAATATGTTATAACCTGCTTCCGAATTTTGTTGAGAATGGTTAGTTTAATTGCCATGAACCACTTGTTATCTGATGGGAACATAAGGAACTTCCTAATGACAAATATTCCTGCCACCTTTTAAGTAACTCTTGCTAGTTTTCATAAACTGAAACTTTATCTTGCAGACTACTAGGAGACTTGTGGCAGTGCATCTGACTACTTCGAAAGTTGAAAACCACAATTTTTTATAATTATCTTTAACTAATTCCGAAATTTTATGTTTCGTGTTCAACTTCGTCAGCGATAGGTTGTGCTAGCTGCCCACCACAAAACTCTGAAAAGTAGACACATTTTCCCTTAGAAATCATCTAGTTGTATTCATTCTCATGAGAAGAGGAATGAATCAGATAGTGAGAAGGAACAACTTTTGGCAATGTTACCACTGTATATCGAAATTCAACCATGTGATTGTCCTTTAACAACTGTTGAGAAACGTGAAATTAATTTTCGTAGAAAATGAGGAAGGTTTGCAGTTACACAGGCGTGCTTTTATGTCGAATGGGACTCAAAGTCTACCAAAACTATGCCTTCGCTACTTACCACATGTGTTATTAACTAAGATGCCAGTTATGTGGACGAATAGCAAATGAACTCAAGCCAACAGAATGGAGTGCTTAGCAAAAAATAATTATAATATGGCTAAGAAAATAAATTTTAAGTTATCGAATACGAATTTACCTCATACTTTGAATAACTAACTGATACGAAATACGAATGAAAGTAAACCCGAACTATGAGGCTGAACATTTTATCACAGTACCTGAGCTATTGAATAATTAGGGATTTTGTCATCAAAATCTGTAACGCATTCAATTTAGGTTAGTCTTTCACGTCTCCTGCTCTGTTCCAGGAATCATACACACATTTGAAATATTGTATTCAATTTAACAATATTTTAGCTTTGAAATTTCTCAAGTGTAGTATATTTCTTTAGTGTTCATGTCGTTTTGTTGAAAAGTTTCGCCATAATCAAATGTAACAATCTTGTGTCGGAATTTGTCAAGCATTATAATGTAGGCTAGCATCCTATTGCTTAAATACCGTCCCACACGAAAATAGGCTTCAAAATTCATGCTTTTGTCGAAAGCTGAAACTGTCAAACAACCACCCTGATTTATTTGTTGTTGATGCTTTTGTGAATGGTTTTTCATGACTGACACTTAATATTTCACTTCTTAGAATGATTTGATGACAAGCAGCAAACTGATGGCAACCCGGATATCTAGAATAACCCTAGCTTATCTCAAGGATACTAAGTAAGTTCTGTATTAAAGCAAGTTGATCTGTACAATCGCTCATTTTCCAAATATGATTTCGACTTGTTGTAATAAGCTTAAAACATAAATTAAGTGAGTGTTCGGAACACTAGCAGCAGTAAACTTGATTATTAGTGATCACCGATTCAGATTTTTCCAGAGACAGAAGTGTAAGTGATATGGATAGTTGTAAGTTAGTTATAACAGCTTGCTATTACGTGAAGCAATTCTCAATGCACCGACAACCAAAAATCGTCATTTCTTGGGGTTGGTTTGACTTCGAATAATAAGGATTTTAAATAGTTTGTTAAACCCAAGGTTATTTAGGAGGCAGTGTTTACTGACAACTGTGATTATCCACTGGCAATGAAGAAAAGTACGAAAGAGCTAGATGAAACGAAAACTTATTTAGAAGTGAAGACAACAACCAATCAAGTTTGCTTTCATTTTCTCGTAAATAAGTTGAGGAGACTGTTCTACATTCAAATATATGTAGTCGAAAGGTCCTGACTCACTTCCTGGTTTGATTTGTGCACCGACAGTTGATATAGATTTTAAAATGTTTGCTAGTGATGTGTAAAATCAGGAGTTTTAAACACCAGCTCAGTATACACATTTGGCGCTACTCTCCAAGGTTACACTAACCAGCATAGAATTCAAATCACTGGGAGCGAATGGGCATGCAGCAGCATCAAACACACAAACAATGAAAATTAATTCATTTGTTAAATAAACGAATGACAAATCACTAAACGAAGGGTAGGAGGTAAGCAACTCGAGATTCTTTGAAGTGGTTACTCAAAAGTTAGGCTTAAAACGAAGTAGGAATGGATACTTAGAGGAGACGAGAGGTTAAAAGGCAAACGAGGATTCAAAAGGTTGGTAGGATGACGTGTGAAACAAACCGAAGAAAAGGAAACGTGATGAGTTTCTAAAGGAAGACACACTTTTAGAGGAAACTACGGCATGACGGAGTAAAACGAACAAGCGAAATAATAAGAATTAAAAGTATCATGAAATTGGAAAAAACAGTATGAGAGTAGTAACAGAAGGCAAAGGAAAAGGATTGGAAGCAGAAATACCATTAGGATTCTCCACTGAAATCTCCTCATCAGCCTGCTCGTTGTCATTTACCACAATCCGTCAATGCATAGTCAATGAGGAGAACCAGACTGATTTACTTATCCAGAAATCTAAATTCATTTCATCTACCACCCACATAACTTTAAAATGTGAAAAGGCTAAACAGACCACTGTTTTAGTCTCGATCTAAAAGGCGTTAACTCCTCTAAAAGTTATTTGAGATGAATGATGGCTTAAGTTTGCATTTGGAAATTCTGTTTGGCATTTGCCTGTTTCATGGTATTTTTAAAACCCAGTGGCTTGTTATTTCACTTTCTTCATTAAATACATCAACAATGTGAGATAGTGAACATAAACTATAATTATAACTTAGGTTACCTAACAAATCTACCCACCATTGCATCCTTTATAGCATGTATGATGTCGACTACTCTATGGCTGATGATTTCAAATGGGGAAAGGATTTAGGATGTGATTTTTTAATGAAAAGCTGTTATGAATACATAAAGATACAAAAATCAAGGTGAGCTGCAAATTGATGTTATAATTAAGTAATCTTCAATATAAATAACATGACTATGTAAGTTTTAATGCAATCCTAGGGTGTTTATAAAATCGACACAAGATTTTTCGGAACATCTTACTGTGTATTCGGCAACGTTTTCTGCAGAATGACGTGATCTTTAATGTTTCAGATACATTTTATAAATAAGCCGGTTGTTTTGCACTGAAAATATACCCTTAAATATGTATCAGACTCTGTGTACTAGTGACAGTCAATTTTCAGGTTTTTTAGGTTTGATTGAGAAACTACCTTTACACCTACCGCAATTTTCTCATGAATCGATTCTAACCATTTCTTCAGAAAATACTACTCATTCTCTTTGTAGAAAAAAGGATATCCAACCTTTCTGTGACACTCCAAATGTAAAACGTTGCACAAATTATGAAAATGCATATGGATTTTGTTCGCTGTACAAATACAATCAAAATCTACCTCATGAATACCAGTACATGGATGATATGTTTAACGTCTCTTCAAACCAGAGGGAGTTCTACGGAGGATGGGATCTGATGGATTATTGTCCATACCTTCAGGTATGTCGAATCTATGTAAATTGGCTTGCTGGTTCAAAAGTCATTTGTTTTCATCTTTACACATGACTTTCATCTGAACACACTTCAGAAATTCATTGCAGTATGATGTAGGTTTTGTTGGTCACTTGCATTGTTGGTTTCATATGAAGACAATAAGTTGGATTTGAGGCTTATATCCTAAATAACCTTGTTGTTCATAATTAATGTTTAGGATAATTAGACATGTAGTGGCAGTTACAGTGGACTACATAAAAGTAATTCGCCTTGAATTGGAACTAGTGAAGGAACAGAAGGTCAACAGGCAACTTAAACGGAGCTACCTCAGAACCCGTTTGAGGTATACGTCAATTACACAACTAAGCGTCATGATATCATGATAAATTGGGTGCCTTACAACAACACTTCAACGTAAATTCAACCAAATCCAAAAACTTGCAAGCTGTTTTCACTAGTGAGTATGCACTGGTTAACAGTAAAATCACTTTCATTTCCCTGCTACCTCATATTTGTCTTTCACAACGTGATATCTGATTCGTTTCTTTAGCCTTACCGTACTGAGAATAAAAGCTTTCGGAATTTGAACAGGCATTTAAAATCCATTTCTTTTGTCAGATACAAGAAACGTTTTTCCCTTTTGTGGAAAAACCAGCACATAATCTGTTATAGGACTGATCTTTGAATCAATGAAGTGTGGTTTTGTCAATCAGTAGGCAGAATTGTCGAACCCTGTTGTTCATTTTTCTGAAGTTTTGAAAGCAGTTTCGCACTGTTCATGTTTGGTGAAGCACACAGCTGACGACACTGAGTTGACCCCTCGATTAGTTATGAAACGTGGATGATGTTATGACAACTAGGGCAGTTGGTACTCTTATGCACAACAGAATAATGAAGTCATCATATGAACAAAAAGCGATTAATTTTAACTCGAGTCACAACGTGGCATAATTAAAAGTGACAAAATGGGAAACAAATTCAAACCATTCATCCTACCTCGAACTAGTGTAATAATGGACAAAAAGACTAGCAGAAATTCAGAACTTTTCTGATAAAAATTAATTATTTGTTTATTTATTGTCCATCTCATTTACATTAATTTACACTAATGTTCTTGATCAGAATACAAGTGAAAGTGGATAAAGTTAATTAAATGAAACAAGGATTTCCGTGAAGAAAGTTTCTCTTTGCCACATTTTCATTTTCAAAAGCTCTACAATAATATTTATATTTAAGTTAGGGTCGAAACTGACAAATATAAATACGATTATATCTCTTTGAAAGTGAAATTATCTCAAAGGGTAGCTCGCTTTGCTGAACTCTTTGTTTTATGTCCTAATGAGGATTTTTAATTTAATATATTAATTAAAAGGGATTAAAGTGATTCTATGAACACACTTCAATAAAGTCTGGGTAATTTCGTTTGCTAATAAAAAGTAAAGGTTACTTGTATATTCTTAGCTGTCTTTGTCTGTAAAAGAACTGAAAAATTAGCACCAATCCACTCTTTTCCTCAGTTTTGTATTTTTCTGCTTTGGTTAAAAAGCAACTTGGTAAATACAACAAACTATTTTGATATTTCTTTGAGTCATTTGTCAATTTTAACTTTGGTATTATTTTCACCCAGATGTTTGGCTACTCCAATAAACTGACATCAGTTTGCAGATCAGAAACACCAAAAAATATAGGTTAGTGTTCAGTATTAAATAATTATAATTATCATGTATGTAATGGATCCTGTGAGTAACGAGAATAACAAGTGTTAGAGTTTTGAGATCATTATAGGAACTATTTCCTTTGGTGAACCGCATAATGATTCCTACAACTACTTTGAATTTCTCAATTGTATACACAGTAAGACCTGTTGGACCAATGAGTTCAAGTTTTAAATGTAGTATTCATCACGGACCGACATCGGTTGGTGAACTATTGAAAACCTGGGAGCACTGGAATAGAAGCGGATGCCAATTGAAGGCCTAGGGTGATAGTCTCGTCATATCGTAAATTGACAGATGTTGGAAACTGTGAACCACTGAAAACCAACCCAGTAGTTGAATGGTTAGCGCGTTCGCTGTGAAACTTAAAGTTTCTGAGTTCTTTCCTTATCTGGATCGTGGGTGCATACTGCTGAGAAGTCCTATACTAGGACGAAGCAGTTGTCCAGTGCTCCCAGGTCTTCAGCAGTTCCCAAAAAGATGCCAGTCCGTGTTGCATACTACCTCTAAGTTAAAATCCTCACTCATCTCAAAAATATATAGCCCGGGTTTTGTTTACTGTTAAGCAAGATGATCGAAATAACTAAGAGGCTGTCAAAAAATGTGCTTAACATACTACTACTGAGAACGAATTTGATCTAGGTAACGAAAGAGGTAAACACTTGGAACTAAATAAATTAAAACATTACAAACTACCCAGGTAGTACATAAAATATTAAAAGGAGTATTTTTTTGAATGAACATATGGACTGGTCAATATAATCACTTTCATAGCTTCACACCGATTCAATATAAAAGATATCTGGTCAAATGCCTGATTTACAGAATAAAAAACATTTGTCCTGATGACTGTGTTGAAAAACAAATAAATAAGCTGAAGACAACATTACAGTAAAATGATTATCCCCTAAACTTCATAAACAAACACATGTCAAAACCTACAGAGAAGATGAAGGAAGACAATGTTGCTAGGAACCCCACGTAGGTGATATTGCCGCAGATATCTTAATACATGGATTCAGTATATCAGTCTAAAGAAACTTCAAAGCAAAAACAATATATAAAAAATAAAAACAAAATTATTCCTCGCTGGAATCGGAGAGGCGAAATGACGCCAGTTGGTGAAAGCCTTCGGGAAGCCAATTGGCCGATGTGTCTTCTCTCGATGAAAGCGAAAGTAAACGTGGGGACATAGAATATCATCACCATGTTTGAACCCAGCAAGGCAGCTCAGATTGCAAACGAGATGAAGAGGTGCTGGACTGCGGAAAAGAACCTAGAAGACTCGGATTTCGCTGATGACTTGTGTCTGATGTCTTACAAACTGGAAGATCTACAGGCGAAAACTAACAAGTTGGCAGAAGCGGTGAGGCAGCTAAGACAGGACTTCAAGTAAATATAGAGAAGACAGAAGTGATGAAGATACCGCACCAACAACTCCAACAACAACAACAAATTGCAGTCGCCATCAACAAGAGAATCTTAAAGGAAGTAACCTCCTTCACCTATCTAGGCAGCACTGTTTCAACTACTGGCGGCGGCACACACGAGGACGTCGAAGCCAACCAGGATCGGAAAAGCAAGACAGGCGTTCATTAGCCTGAAACCAGTGTGGAGATCTTCTTCACTCAGCATGAAGCGTGAACAAGATCCGGATTTTCAACACCAACGTCAAGTCAGTGCTCCTGTATGGTTCAGAGACTTGGCGCGTTACGAAAGGCATTTCCAACAAACTACAGACATTGATGAACAACTGCCGCCTACGCAGGCTCGTTACTGAAGATCAGATGGCCAGAATAATAAGAATAAGCAACAAGGAACCCTGGTCGGGCAATGAACCAACCAAGAACCTATCACCCAACAAATATGCACTGGAAGGAAGTGGAGATGGATTGGGCATACACTGAGAAGGCCGACTGGGGACATCACGCGTCAGGCCAGTTGCTCGAGTGGAATCCCCATGGGAAGCGACGAAGTGGGCGTCCGAGGCGAGGGTGACATTGAGGAGATCGTGCGAGGAAGAAATGAGAGCTTGTGGGCAGTCGTGGAGCCAGGTTAAAATGATTGCAGAGAACAGAGTGCACTGTAGACGTGCTAGTGAAGCCGTATGTTCCACTAGGAACCCAAGGGACTAATAATATTAATAATATGTGTTCAAAAGAAATATATACATCCACTTTGTTTACCTTGGTCCACAACAGGGTCGACACATTCGTTGTGAACTTTCCTATCACAAATTACACATTTTAACCCCTTATCCCCTTTCTTCGATATTGTCATAACGTTGATGAACGTTCATTTTCTTATGGCATTAGTTTTACGACCTTCTTTATTCATACCACAATGTGCAGTCATTTTCAACCGTGACGTAATAATTTCCATTCACTATTTCCTATTTCGTTATAGTATTCTCATGATTTTCATCCCACCTGAATATAACCCATCACTACACGATTATCATTTGGCACTTAGTATACACATGCACATACATTCATGTCACAATAAATGTATATAAATGAATTATCATCTGTAGATTTTGTCTCCTCATTTCGTAATTGTTCTGTCAATATTGATTTCACTGCACAACTAACACACTAGACTAATAACATTTCTACCATTCCATTCGATTTGATTCTCATTCACCCATAACACTGTCTCAATATAGTAAAATTGTACATCATGCCTTATTTCCGCTATTGTATTTCACTTATTCTCATGGATTTACAACTGCAGAGCCTGAAGAAGAAGTTATTAAAAACAAATTATTCTTGTTCCGAGATCACAAAGGATACCAAATAAAGTGGAATCTCAGCAAGCAGACAGGCAACTTGTTCGGGAAGTCTTAAAACAAAATAACTGTCCCAAAAAGCTATTAAAAAGAGAAAAGTTTATCGAAGAGAGATACGGAAAAGGCAACCCATAAAGATTGGATAAGTACTACAGTACTTCCTTATCAAACATCCACTTCAGAGGAAATAAGACGTATCCTTAATAGTTACAACATCAGAGTATTCTTTGAGGTGACTAACACATTACACTCACACATGTGTAAATTAAAAGATCCGATTCCTCATTTGGAGCAACAAAACTGTGTTTATAAGGTAGACTGTAGTGAATGCGATGCCATACACATTGGAGAGACATCACATCAAGCACTAACACGTCTAGCCGAACACAGTCGAAGTTCCAAGGAACTACCAAAAAATTCTTACGATCTAGAAAAACTTAAAAGAAGCTCTGCCATTGGGGCTCATGACCTATATTTAGGTCATAAAATATCATATGCTCGAAAAGTAATCAAGTAAATAATACTGTATCACTGTGCCCTATACATCAAATAAACAAATCTAATGTAGAATTACATTCTACCACAGTGCCCAAGTTTTGCACTTGTAGAAGAAGACAGTTTAGAAAAAATTATTACCGTGAACTAAGTGGTTATCATTGTATATAGTCTGCTGTTCAAATATTCATCCTTCCAAATTAGTAATCTGTTCTTTCTCACCCTTGATATCCCACAACCCTATTGTACTTTTCATAGGAGAACCAATTTTTTTCCCACCCTATTTTTGTTCCGCCTTACTCTCACAACTGAAAAAAGCCCCTCTGATCGATCTGCTTATTCACTCACCTGCATTACAACGATCTTTGCTCCATATCACTAGGTGATTGGATGATTGTAAAGGTCACCACCTTCTGTACCAAAACTTGAATATTAACCTGAAAACTTACTGTCAGATTCATACTCCTGAAAAGGATTTTCATAGCAAGATGGAAACGTTGAGGAATAACACAAAAAAAAATTGGTTTATTTTATTATTTGTTCTAATATACTACGCCGGGATTACACAAGTAAAAATACACCTTATAAGATGAATTATTCTGTTATATTTACAATTAGAACATTTCATTCCACAGGAGATTAGTTCACTTTGATTTTGACTAACACAACACCACTAACTGTTAACGCGCTTAATTACTGACTCAAAAACTATTAACAAGATCATAACTATATATTTTTAGGCATGCAGTCTAATAAATACCTTGAAGACTATGGTCCAGACTCAGTATGCTTCGACCATGGAATTTGGTTAGACAGAAATCAAAAAGGGGAAATAACTGAACATTCCAAGGGATGTTCTTGTCATAAAGTAAGTTTTGACCAAATATTTAGTGGTTATAAAAATGAAATTGAGTGAAATGAAGCATTTTTGAATTGCCATACTTCAGAGTTAGGTCAACGAATAAAAAACAGCACTTTCTATGAAAGAACAGCTGACGAATATGAAAGACTGTTTTCAGTTTTCAGAAGCATCTTCAAAATAAAGAAATAAGTACATTTCAAACTATGTTAGGGAATCCGGTAATCGAACCGATCAAAGAGTTCATAAACACGAAGTAGCAGGAAAGCGACATGACACAGCTTTCTTGCTTTCAATAAAGGCGGACAACCACGATCACTAATTTGACTTGAAGAATGTAAACATCTTTCAAATGACAGTTTCAACGGCTCCAAGAGAACTTCTATAAGCCTTGGATTGTGACGAATAGTCAACCAACAGATATGACGATATAGATTCAATCTATGATCTACTGACGAAGAAAAACAACCATCCATCAATCAAGGGCAAATTAATCAAATAAATCAGTCATGGGCTACTGTGACAGCAACAAGTAGCAAATTATCACTCTAACAGATATTCTTTACCAGTGTAATCAAGTGAAAATTGAGGTAGAGGAGATCAAGGTGTGATGAAAATCTCTTCATACGCTCACAATTAAATAAAACTCATATTTGGCAAAAACATTATCGAAATATTCGTCTAACTTCTGAACGTGCTTCACTTCACTATGAAGTGAGTATTGAAGATGTCATTAGTCCTGATGATGAAAATTCCATGACAAACTATCGAAACTCGAATGACACCAAACCGGTATTATCTTCATACTTGGTTACAAATCACTATATAGGTGAGTTTTTATATAATCCCAGCGTGTTTAGAAAATCGAAAACAAGATTTTTCTGAAAGTTTCGCTGTGTATGTCACAGATTCCTCAGCAAAATCAACCTGACTCGTCACTCAACTTCTTTCAGGACGTTCGTAAAAGCTATGGCCTGGATGTTTATAATTAGTTACGAATCCTTTCCATCACTTCAAAATCAATAACACTCCACCGTCATTCATCCACTAACAGGTGTACTACAACAACCCAGTTTGGCTGCTGAAACAAAACAAGATCACAAAGATCATTGGGTTGGAGTTACAGGTTGTTTTAAATAGGAATATCCCAAATACATTTAATACTAGTGGTTTTGCTTTCCCACAGTAGAAAACGAAATTCACTTTCAGATTATCCATCTGAAAAAGCAAAACACAAAAAGTCATTTGTTCACATTCGCATTTTCTCCTTTGATACGTTAAGCTATCAGTAATGATGTAAGTACGTGATCTGAAAAGCACTGACGCTAAGATGCAGTACCAGAAATTTGTTTCCCTAAAGTGATCAAATATAAGTTAACGATCATGAAGACAGAAATATGGTGAGTACTCACGGCTTCTCACTTCACTGTTCATACAGATATCCTTCCCAGCATAAATCAGAGATTTCTATGAGACCTCAATTTTGTATGTCATTAAAAACCTGAGATATGAATGTTTCTTTTAACATAAGACGATTTCTAACAAGCTTCAACAATCCTCTTCAGTCCGTTTGAAATGGGGGTTACCTAGAACAGGATAACGTGGTCCAGTTCATCTCCTTTTTGATAGAGATAAGCAGGCGAAAAATAATATGTGCCTGTTGTAAACCACAACTAATGAGAGACCAGTACACAGTAATGAAAGGCTTGTTACAACACAGATTAAATAAGTCAAAAATAAAACACAGCTCTGCAATTGGATGTCTCATCAAACCTAACTTCGCCTGGTTGATGACTGAGCACCGTTTTAGCCACTAGCTTTGAAAACATTACATCCACCAATAAGTTTGTAAACCATCAAGAACAGGTGGTATTTAAAACAATCATCCTTACTGCGGTCAAACTGTACTTTCCTAACTGTAAATGAATGTAGACATTTTTAGTGCCAGATTTGATCCACATCTGTACGTTTATTGCTTCACCTGCGGCAAACAACACTCGAAATTGTCTGTTTCCTGTACGTGTTACAAAACTAAGTACTATCCTCTGTATGCATTACGTCACATTTAGGTTCTCCGAAAAGACTTTTCTAAACCTCACAACGTTCGCTACCGGCAGAATTTCAGGTGACTGAAAAGGCTTATACAATAATGAAGTTAAATTAGTCATTTTCAGAAATGTCTCCTTCATATTGTTTCGTGCTGAAGGTGTTTTATTTCTCTCCACGTATATTGTGTAGCATCAACAATGATTCCATTTCAGAGAATAAATGATTTTTTAATTCTGTTCATCATTCCATTCGATGCATATTAACTACTATCTCGAGACAGTAGTCTCGATTATTCATGAGTGATGTAGAAAACCTACCTTTCTATAAAAGACAGAAGTTAGATATTGAAAACACGCATGGTAATATGCTGGATCATTAGGAACAGTTTTTAAAAGGTTTAAGACTAGAAAGCTAAGCAAACAAAATGTGTACAAGGTAACTGTGTTTTCTTCAAATCCAATTAACAAGTTCAAGTTGTATTCATTCTCATTTATCTTCATTTAAAATTGGAAGTATCAAGTATGTTTGTGTAGGGAAAGATGTATGGGAGGGTCATATGACGGGTTATGAACACATGGAATATGTGCATCTTGGAAAACACTTTGCATCTTTTCCACAGTTTGCATGAGTTCTTTGCATAACCCGAACCAAAGTAACTGCATGGTAATTTTTGTGAAGCTGCCAATACGACATTCTGGAACATCACTTTGCTTCGTTTAAAATCCTGAAGAAATCGTGATCACTGAATCCCTCCATAAAGAGTAGATATGATTGACTGATGTGTCGGTACATTCATGTCTTCCCCTAGCTGTCATGAAAGCGTTATCTCTGTTGATTAATATCAATGTTAGAGATTTGTTTCAAGAGGGTTAATATTTATAATGCTTCAAGTATCACTTTCATTTCCACTCTATGTTCGTTTGCTTGCTGTAACTTCCACAATACTGATTATTATTCAAACAAATGGCTTCTCCTTCAGTACAAATGTTCAAAGAATCACGGTCTCCTTGTATTCATCAATGGACTGTACTACGATTGTCCTGTGTCTGGTGGACGTATGCATTTCAAAGTGAAATTGGACGACAGAACAATATATGCAAACATATATTGTCCAAAATGCGAAATTCTGTGCAAAGTAAGTCAAATTATGATCACAAAATGCTAAATACTTGCAAATGGATGTTAATGTCTTTCCACTTTTTGAGGAAGAAGCAAAAATTCAAACATTTATCAAGGTAGGACAATCTCTCAATCCAAACGAACGAGCCTTGAGACGTAGATTATATGTATTCCTACTTTTTTCAAATCCAGTTCACTGACTAGAGAAATGGTATGCGGATTAGCTTACTAGAAGCGGACCAAAAAAGGTTGGAATCATTCCTCGGAGTAACAAATGAGGACACTTTCGAAAACATAAGCCTGTCTTTTCCTTTATTAATAAAATCTCTCTGGTCATATTACCATTCCTGAGGAATGGAAAGTAATTGGTTGACGTTCTGGACATCATTAAGACGACTTCGAACATCTGTTCACATAGTATAGGCGTCGAAATACAAATTGTACAAAATATTTATGTCACAATAGGACTTTCTCCTCATAACAAAGTGCATTGCTGATTTCCATAGATTGGTTTGTAAAACAACTATTCAGTAGATTAATTCCCACATTCAATTGGAGTAGCTAACAACCTGTGATTGCAGATGGAATAGTTGGGAAATGCGAAAAGTTAGTTTCGGACCTTTATCAATTTTAACTGTATTCACCCATTGTGAGAGTTGACGCTTCTAAGCCTAATTCCACATTCAACTAAGGGTTTGCAGTTCCAAACTGTGATGTCCAGTGCACCTGATTTTGAATTTGTCTCTACCTGCTGAAAAGCAGCACTGAATACTAACCAGATAATGTGACATTTATGTCTTCATGCTTATAAATGAAATGAAATTTCCAACGAGCGAACGAGTGTGAATTGACAGTAACAAAGAATATGGTGTTAATCAAGTATAAAGTCTGACTAGCTGAAAATGTCTGTTTTAACAGTATGAAAGTGATTATATCCAGTAAGCGGTTAACATGTGATGTATCCGTATTCATAACAATTCTCTTCCCTGAAATAACCTTCTAACCCGAACAAATATTACATTGCATTCATTACTTCGACTAATATTTCGAGCATTCGTTGACGTTACAGGAGATAAATACTGAGATAATTTTGTGTGGTTGAATGTTTCAGAATCAATGTCCACCGAATAAATGAAATGAGAAGAGCGATTGTCAGGTGATTGAAGAAGGATGTCCTTTGTTATCGTGTTCATGTACTAACATTTGATCTGTTCCTACCTTTTTGTTAACAGTAGTAACAACTTGAAATTATACATTTTTAAATAAATATGTCTGTAAAATAAGTATTGTATGTGACCTTTCACCACATTTTATTTGCACATTAGACCTTCGTAAGTGTCAGTGTGAAGTCGACTGTTTAGGAATCCATCTATATTGACCACAGTGAGTTCACTCAAGTTTATGAGGAGATTAGTACGGTGTTGAGGTGAAATTTCAGAAGAAACTATTCAACCCAAAATATTTTTCATATAAACGTCTTTCAAGTAAAATAATTAGCATACAGTGTGGATGAAACCGTTTTTCTAGTATATCAACAAATTTTTTCATTTGAGCAATGGAGACCGAGCAATGTGAGATATAAAGCAACCGTATCATCTGTTCATAGCAACGCAAAGGAAATCCTCAAAGTAGTCGTATAATATTCTCTAGTGTTGATGCATTGAAACCAGTTCCCTTTCAAAATAGTTTTTCTGGGTTACGTGAAAGTTCTGTTTCGGAATACTGGAAATGCGAATATCCTCAATAAATCCCATAGGGAATGCATCAGTCGATGTCTATTTTAGATCACTCTACGAAGTTGTACATCAGCATCTAAATACAATTATTTTCAGTACAGAAAG